CTTCCTTCCCATCCCCCCTTCCTTCCTTCCCATCCCTCCTTCCTTCCCATCCCTCCTTTCTTTCTTCCTTCCTCTTTCTTTCTTTCTTTCTTTCCTCTCTCCCTCCCTCCTCCTTCTTTCTTTCTTCCTCCCTTTCTTTCTTCCTTTCTTCCCATCCCTCCTTTCTTCCTCCCTCCCTCCCTCCCTTCCTCTTCCTTCCTTCCTTCCTTCCTTCCTTCCTTCCTTCCTTCCTTCCTTCCTTCCTTCTTTCTTTCCTTCCCTTCCCTTCCCTTCCCTTCCCTTCCTTCCTTCCTGCCCTCGTTCTTTCTTTCTTTCTTTCCTCCTTCCTTCCCATCCTTCCTTCCTTCGTTTCTTTTTTCTTTTTTTCTTTCCTTCCTTTCCTCCCTCCTTCCCTCTCTCCGTCTCCCTCTCTCTCTCTCTCTCTCTCTCTCTCTCTCTCTCTCTCTCTCTCTCTCTCTCTCTCTCTCTCTCTCTCTTTCTTTCTCTCTTTCTTTCACCACATATATCAAAAGAGGTCCAGAACTAGTTTGTAACTCATGCTGTCAGGGTCAAAAGAAGGGAAACAAAGCCATGGTCCTAGGACGTTCAGGAGGCTGAAATGAAGCACTGTTTTCAATTTCGGCTCTTTTATTCCTCGCTTCTCGTTGCAGTTGTCACCATTAATTTTAGTGTCCTCCTCAACGGCCTTCAAACGTCTAGATAAAACACCCGATATTTCTCCAGGTACCTGGAATCTTTTGTTCCTTTTGAAAAAGGCAACGGCGCCGTCAGGCGAATTTAAATTACATGGCAATTTGATACAATCTCCAATTTGACCTCCTCTGAGTTGTTTGGGGCGAAGTACCGCGCTCTTTCTGAGATTATGAATCATAATACTCTTTGATTTTTCATTCTGCTTGAAGACAGAATATATGCCCAGCACACGGTTAAGCGTTCCTCTGATATTTAAGAGCATACAGTAACGAAAGTTCAAAAATTACATCTAGCTGAGTTAATTAAAGGCCAGGCGCTTCAGCCGAGCGACGTACTTGGGGTATTCCTGGGGTACATTCGAATAAACTCTGCAGGGATTATTTCTGACTTTCTGTTTCGGCATTTGGTGCACACAGAAAGACCTTGACGTATGGCCGCCATTGAGCCCCAAAACATTTCCGTTGCTAAGTGAGACGTTTGTCAAGTGAATTTTGCCCCGTTTTACGACCTTTCTCGTCACGTTCGTTAAGGGAATCACGGCAGTTGTTAAATTAATAACACAGTTGTTAAGTGAATCTGGCTTCCCCCATGGACTTTGATGATCAGAAGGTTGCAAAAGGGGATCACGTGAGTCCCTCCAGGACAACCCTGACCGTCATAAGTATGAGTCAGTTGCCAAGTGTCTGAATTTTTGATCACCTTTTGGGGTCTGCGGGGATGCTGCGACGGTTGTAAGTCTGAAAAAACAGTCCTAAGTCCCTTTTTCCAGTGCTCTTATAACTTTGAAAAAGTCACTAAACGAACTGTTATAAAGTCAAGGGCTGCCTGTATTTCATTGTTGCCCCAAACCATGAGATCTTAACAACAACAACAACAACAATAATAATAAAGTTGGAAGGGACCTCGGAGGTCATCTAGTCCAACCCCCTGCTCAGGCAGGAAGCCCTATACCATTTCAGACAAATGGCTGTCCAGTCTCTTCTTAAAAACTTCCAGTGTTGGAGCATTCACCGCTTCTGGAGGCAGGTTGTTCCACTGGTTAATTATTCTGACTGTTAGGAAGTTTCTCCTTAGTTCTAGATTGCTTCTCTCTTTGGTTAGTTTCCATCCGTCTCTTCTTGTCCTGCCTTCAGGTGCCTTGGAGAATAGCTTGACTCCCTCTTCTTTGGGGGCAGCCCCTGAGATATTGGAACGCTGCTATCATGTCCCCCCTCGTCCTTCTCTTCATTGAACTAGACATGCCCAATTCCAGCAACCGTTCCTTGTGTGTTTTAGCCTCCAGTCCCCTGATCATCTTTGTTGCTCTTCTCTGCACTCTTTCTAGAGTCTCGACATCTTCCTTCCCTCCCAGGTGGGTCCCCAAACTGCAAAGATTGGGGACCACTGCCGTAGACGACGAGAGCAGAGTTATAGGGGAATGTTTTATATTGTTTTAACATGCTGTGAGCCGCCCTGAGTTCCATGGGGAGAAGGGCGGCATATAAGTTAAATAAATAAATAAATAAATAAATAAATAAATAAAGCATTTGGAAATAGCCGGGCCTTTAATCTTCCCTTGTTCTTTGGGAAGAATACGCTAATGCAGGAGTCCCCAACCCCCAGACCGGTATGGGGCCACGGCATGCCAGCAACCGGTCCACACAAACAAGCAGAGCCCCATCCGCGGGATGCAGGCAGCACACAAAACCACACACAGTCCGGTCCGCGGAAAAATCTCTCTCCACGGAACCGGTCCCCAGTGCGCAAAAGGTTGGGGGGACCTCTGCGTTAATGAATTCCTAAATGAGCTTAAGATACACACTTTATTCCTAAGTGTAAGCGCCCTTGTGTAAAAGACACCGAGCCTGCACATGTTTGGGGGGAAAAAAAACCTAGCCCTTTGCTTTTGTGTCACATTGTGTGTGCGTCTGTTTAAATAAATCGGCGATGAGGAATCGGAGACCCGAGACTTGCCATAGCTGTATTTATTTATTGAGGCTCCTCCGTTTATAAACCACCGTGCTGGAAGGCTCCCTTTACCTCTTACACTGGAGTAAACGGAGGCGGTCTTAGCGCAAGAGGAGGCCAATTCTTAAAACCGCAATTAGGAATCATATAAATAACGGAGGAAAACAATATATATATATATATATATATATATATACATACTGGCATTTCCTGACAGCCTTCACACGCGCCGTGTGCACTTTCCAGCAGGCTACACGTAGCTGGCTTGTTCTTCTGTTTTGTCCAGTTCGTGCTCGGTCAGGAGCAACGTGTCCAGCAGGATGGCCGAGGACTGGATGGGGGAGCTACGAAGCCGGTGGTTTTGGTAGCCGACTGGATTGATGCCGTTCCGCCTCCCGTGGTGCATCATAAAAAGCTTTGAGTTCTCCGTCACCGAATTTCTGAACGAGAGTCTGGCGGAGGTTTTCCGGGAGGCCGTTGCGGCCGCCGAAGTCTGGTAATTGCAGGTGATGTACCTGCCGAAGGCTTGCCTGAAGGTCTTGTTGAAAAGGGTGTAGACCAGCGGATTGACCCCCGAGGAGACGTAGCCGATCCAGACGAAGATCTCCATCAGCATCTGGATAAATTCCTCGCTGCAGGATTCGCACAGCACCGAGGTGATGTTGGTGATGAAGAAGGGGCACCACATCACCAGGAAGAGGAAGAACACGATCCCCAGCACCTTAGACGCCCGCTGTTCGTTGGTGATGGATTGCACCGACTTTTTCCCGACGGTGGACATCCTGCGGACCAGCGGCTCTTCGTTCCCGTTCGGCAAAGCTTTGTCCTTGCGGGAGCCGTCCAGCATGGCGATTTTTTCCGGCGAGGATCCGGGCGTCGTCTCCCGCTGGAAGACGGTGGAGATGGTGCTCCAGGTCAGGCGTTGCGGCGGCTTGTTGATCAGGTAAGCCTTCTTGTGCAGGACCCGGATTGTCAGGAAGTAACTCACCACCATGATGGCCAGCGGGACGAAGAAGGCCGCTATCGAACCGTACAGGATGAAGTCTCCGAAACGACTGGGCTTCAGCACGCAAGTGAAGTTTTGGAAGTTGGCGCCGTTCTCTTCTATCCCGCGAATCGGGATTGGAATAGCGATGCCTGGAAGAGAAGCAGAGATCCAGTCAGCTTCAGTCTATATATATATAGTACCGGGATGCACGCCCCAACCACAGCTATGATTTGAGAGCCATAAAAAAGGGGAAGATAGAGCACACTTGTAACTGTGTTAATAATAGATCCTGGGGAGCTGGGTTGATAGTAGAGCCGAATGATGTAAGTGATGGCAGGATGCCTCCGCCTTCCCCCATTGCAGGGTTAGATAGTAATGGCAGGATTGATACCCATGAGAAAGTAAGCAGAAGAAGTAAGGAGAAGCCGAACAGGACGGATACAACGTTTGATCGGCTGGGACCAATTACTAGATCCAGCATCATCAGGGTAACATGCAGTAGATGGGATGGCTACTTATAGGAGTGGTGCCTTTTGCACCCGGCTCCTGGATCTCGTGATCGGGCCCAATCGATCCTCCTGCGTTTGAGTTCTAATCATCGTATCACAAGCTGTCACGTTGATTAGAACTCAAACGCAGGAGGATCGATTGGGCCCGATCACGAGATCCAGAAGCCGGGTGCAAAAGGCACCACTCCTATAAGTAGCCATCCCATCTACTGCATGTTACCCTGATGATGCTGGCAGTGGGCCGGCGAAAGCTTGGTGTTTTAAAAATTTTATTAAACTTTTATAGTTTTATAGTTTTTTAAAGAATTTCCTAGTGGTCTCACGACTTGTGATTACCGAACATGAATTTACGCAGGAATCACCTTTTTAGCTTTAGAATCTTAAGTAACATATGTGTGTGTGTGTGTGTGTGTGGAAGGGAGGACCTCGGAAAAGTTTGAGGAGTGACCCTGCGATTGGGAAGATCTGCAGGTGGCAGCCCAAATGGTCCTCTGGATACCAACCCAAGAGAAGCTTTGTAGCTCAGGGTTCAACTGTGGAGTCCTTGGTGTCTCTGAACTGGGTGGTTTCCTTGCAGACGTCTCATTACCCAACTAGGTAACATCATCAGTGTTAGAAGGGAGAGGGGTTTGCGGAGAGGACGACAATGGGGTCCTTGTGCTCTCTGAGTTTGGTTTTCCTTGCAGACATTTCATTATCCAACTAAGGAACATCAGTGCTAGAAGGGAGAGGAGTTTGCGGAGAGGAGGAGGAGGAGGACTATGGTGTCCTTGGTGCCCTCTGAATTGGGTGGTTTCCTTGCAGACATTTCATTGCCCAAGTAGGTAACATCATCTGTACTAGGAGGGGGAGGGGGAGAGGAGGGGGAGGAAGACGACGACAACTGTGGGGTCCTCGGTACTCCCTGAGCTTAGTGGTTTTCTTGCAGATCTTTCCTTGCCCAAGTCGGTGACATCAGTGATGTTGTTGATGATGTCACTGATAATGCTCCCTACTTGGGTCGTGAAACGTCTGCAAGGAAACCACCAGGGTCAGAGAGCACCCCACAGTGTTCCGGATGAACATCCCTCTCCCTGCAAGACGTGGCTGCATTTCTTTGAGATGCATCGTCAGCCAGAGACTCGGAGAAGAGTCACCACGATGTAAAAAAAGATGTTGAGACTCTAGAAAGAGCGCAGAGAAGAGCAACAAAGATGATTAGGGGACTGGAGGCTAAAATATACAAGGAACGGTTGCTGGAATTGGGAATGTCTAGTTTAATGAAGAGAAGGACGAGGGGGGACATGATGGCAGTCTTCCAATATCTCAGGGGCTGCCAAAAAGAAGAGGGAGTCAAGCTCTTCTCCAAAGCGCCTGAAGGCAGGACAAGAAGCAACGGGTGGAAACTTTTATCAAGGAGAGAAGCAACCTGGAACTAAGGAGAAACTTCGTGACAGTTAGAACAATTAACCAGTGGAACAACCTGCCTCCAGAAGCGGTGAATGCTCCAACACTGGAGGCTTTTAAGAAGAGACTGGACAGCCACTTGTCTGAAATGGTACAGGGGACTACCTGTATATGTACACATGTGTGTTTGTGTGTGTACTTACATGTACACACACAAAGATGTTTATATAGGTAGTCCTCGAGTTACAATCACAATTGAACCCAAATTTTCCATTGCTAAGCAAAGCAGTTGTTTAGTCATGAAAGCCAGCTGGGCGACTTTGGGCCAATCATCAGGAGACGGTGAGTTCTAGTCCCGCCTTAGGCATGAAAGCCAGCTGGGCGACTTTGCGCCAATCATCAGGAGACAATGAGTTCTAGTCCCGCCTTAGGCATGAAAGGTGGCTGGGCGACTTTGGGGCTATTATCAGGAGACTGTGAGTTCTAGTACCGCTTTAGGCATGAAATTCAACTGGGTGACTTTGGGCCAATCATCAGGAGACAATGAGTTCTAGTTCTGCCTTAGGCACGAAAGTCAGCTGGGCGACTTTGTGTCTATTACCAGGAGACTGTGAGTTCTAGTTCCGCCTTAGGCATGAAAGTCAATTGGGTGACTTTGGGGCTATTACCAGGATGCGGTGAGTTCTAGTCCCGCCTCAGGCATGGAAGTCGGCTTGGTGACTTTTCAATCACCAGGTGACGGTGAGTTCTAGTCCCACCTCAGGCACGAAAGTCGGCTGGATGATTTTGAGCCAGTCGCTCTCCCTCAGTCCAACCCACCTCGCAGGGGCGGTGGTTGTGGGGAAAAGAGGAAGAGGAAGGTGTGTGGGACACGTTCGCCGCCTTGAGTTATTTGTAAAAATGATAAAGTGGGGTATAAGTAAAGAACAACAGCGGCAACAACAAAACCACTCAGAGCCTGGCTCTGACTTCTGAGCCTGTCCGTTCCATTCTGCGACGCTGCCTTCCTCTCCCCCTCCCTCCCCCCCCTCCCTCCTCCAGCGCCATTTTATAACTTCAAGCTGCGAGTTAACCAGTTTTCCCCCACCTACCGATGGAGATCAGCCAGACCACGGATATTTTGATGAGCGTGGTTGCCCGTGAGTTGTACTGGCTGGCCTGGATCGGCTTTTTGATGGCCACGTAGCGGTCCAGGGAGATGGCGCAGAGGTGCATGATGGAGGCCGTGGAAAAGAGGACGTCGAGGAACAGCCAGGCGGGACAGAGATAGGCTGGAAGCGGCCAGGGTGTTTCTGGAAAAAACAAAAACAAAATCAGAATATTTTTGGGGTGGTGGATAAAGGAAGGGTTGGGTCAGAGAACGTCTCCAGGAAGTCCTCCGCTTTCCACAGTTCATTTAGTGACCGTTCGGAGTTACAAAATGAAGTCGCTAAATGAAGAGGCTAGAACAGGGGTAGGCAACCTTGGCTCTTTTATGACTCGCGGACTTCAACTCCCAGAATTCCTGAGCCAGGATGGGGGAACTATGGCCCTTTCATGACTTGCGGACTTCAACTCCCAGAATTCCTCAGCCAGCATGGGGGAACTATGGCCCCTTCATGAGTTGCGGACTTCAACTCCCAGAATTCCTCAGCCAGCATGGGGGAACTATGGCCCCTTCATCTGGTGGACTTCAACTCCCAGAATTCCTGAGCCAGCCTGGCTCAGCTTGGAAACCTCTCCCTTTCCCCTCAGCATGGCTGGCTCAGGAATTCTGGGAGTTGAAGTCCACGAGTCATAAAAGAGCCAAGGTTACCTACCCCTGGGCTGGACAGTCACTTGTCTGAGATGGTATAGGTTCTCCTGCTTGAGCAGGGGGCTGGACTAGAAGACCTCCAGGGTCCCTTCCAGCTGAATTCTATTTTACAACGGCACTAAAAAAAGTGACTTACGACTGTTTTTCACACTCACAACCATTGCCTCATCCCCACGGTCACGTGATCAAAATTCGGTCGCTTGGCAACTCTCCTATTTACGACGGTTGCCGTTTCCCCCATGGGGTGTGTGTCATGTGACCGTCTTTTGTGATCTTCTGACAAGCAGGATCAATGGGGAAGCCAGATTCACTTAACAACCCTGTTGCTCACTTAAAGACACCAGTGACTCACTTAACAACCGTGACAAAAAAGGTGGTAAAAAGGATAAAACTGTCTTGTTTACCAACGGAAAATTTGGGCTTATTTTTGGCTGTAAATCAAAGACTCTCAGTATTGACGATGTTGTGAACGTTCTTGACTTAGGATAACCTTGCGACTAGCTGAGGAACTGCAGTGATTCACTTAACAACGGTGGCCAGAAAGGTTGTAAAATGGGCTGGCTGGGGAATTCTGGGAGTTGAAGTCCACAAGTCTTAAAAGTCCCACAGGTCTTAAAGTTGCCACGGGGAATTCTGGGAATTGAAGTCCACAGGTCTTAAAGTGGCCAGGAATAGGACACCCCTGGGGTAGGTCTTTGCTGACTGAAGAATTCTGGGAGTTGAAGTCCACAGGTCTTAAAAGTGGCCAGAGTTGGACACTTCTGCCTTAAGGCTTGACTGTGATCGGTGAGAACCAGTTTTGCTTCAACATCTGAATTTTTCCCCCTTTTTTAGCAGCTTCTGAATCTGCAGGATTCAGGTTAGTGTCTGTTGCAGCCCCACTTGACAATTAAGCAAACCGTGATAGTACCAGCTTCTAGAAACGCCCTAATAAATTTGCTTGTTGTTTTAAAGAGACACAAAATATTAAAATACTGCAATGCCACAGCCATCCTTTGAGGTATCTACAGGTAGTCCTCAGCTTGCAACCGTTCATTTAGTGACCGGTCAAAGTTTCAACCGCACTGAAAAAACATTAACTTGCAGTGCAGCATTCCCATAGTCAAAATTTGAGTGCTTGTCAACTGGCATGTATTTACAATGTTTGCAGCACGCCCAGGTCATGTGAATGCGATTTACCACCTTCCCAGCCAGCATCAGGCAAGGAGGATGCCAGATTGGATTCATGACCCCCATGATTCATTTAACAACCGCCACGATTTGCTTAACGACCGTGGCCGAAAGAGTTTGTAAAGTTGGGTGTGACTCCCAGCAACGACCTTGCATAACCGTAAAAATTCTGGCCTGAACTGTTTGTCGTGTGTTGAGGACTGTCTTGCGTGGTGATCCTTCGACTTGGCTAGATTCAAAATCGTCCTCACAGTCTTTGTTAAACCCAATCCGGTTTTTAACTTACTTGGCGAGCCAGATTTGTGTCTAATTATTTATTTGTTGAATTTACTGATGACTTTCCAACCAGCTCTCCAAATTATCTTCATTATCTGCTTACATCAGAAGTGAATAATAGGAACTGAA